GATGCCATGAAACAATCAGAGCTGCACTTGAACAAGGCTGCACTTTGTTCCTCCACTGCCTCACCGCTCTCTTGAGAGGCATCTTTGAAAATTCCTGAGGCCAAAACACTTTATTATGTGACACATACATCTCAATCATCTTCTGCTAAGACTTGAGGCACTACCCTGCAGCAGGCTGGATGGTAGAGAAAAGCATACAGCACTATGTTACAGTCATGGGGTGCTGCTGGGGGCACCTTCCCTGCATCTTCTGCACAAACCATCCTAAAATTTCACACATATCTGGGTTTGTCCCATCCTGCAAACCCTTAGACTAGCAAATAACGAGTGTGAGACAGCCGAGCTGCATGTGGAACAATGTGTACTGCAAATGCAGGCAGGCTAGGAGTCACAGAGAGCCTGTCAGGTCCCAGGTCATGACTGAAACACAATCTCGAATATCTCCCTGTGCGGCTGCCACCGGGACCTGCGTGGATGCGCTGCTGCGGCCGTGCCAGGGCCGTCCCCGAGCACAGGCCCGAGCGGTGCCGCGGGCCCGGCCCCCACAGGGCTCCGCGGCCTCTCCTGCCCCCGCCGCAGCCACAGCAAAGGCACCGGGACCCCGGCACAGCTCCGCACACCGCGGCCTCCTCCGCCGGCCCGACCCGTGCAGGGGCTGCCTGGAGCCTCAGCAGGGCTGAAACTGGCAGGGCAGCAGAGGGGAAGGGGCTCCATCAGCTGTACGGCCCGTAGAGCCCCGCCTGCGGCCCGGGTCGCTTTCCTCAGAACTGCCAGAGGCCGCTGGAGCCGGGAACCGGCAGCGGCTCAGGCAGGGCAGGGCTCACCAGCTCTGCAAGAGAGCAACCACACGCAATTCACGCAATTTCTCTTTTCAGCAAGTACTCAGCTGCAAGCAGAGTGCAAGTAAACAGGAATGATTTAATTACCACACAAAAGTAATTAATTACACACAGGAATCAACAGGAACGGCTTATGAGACACTGGTGGCACATTACTGTCAGTTGTAGAACAGTTAGCCACAGACCTACATGAGCAAGACCAGACACTAGTTTCTGCTCTTAGAGTAGCAGAATTATTTTGGCAGGCAAAAATAGGGTTTAAAAACATCACCAAAGACCATAAAGCAAATTCAAAGCAAGTAACACAAAACCAAGCCTGGGGTTGCTTCAGTGTTGACCTTGAAATATGAAAATAGGCAGCTGATCAAATTAATTTGTATTGCTCATCAGGAGGTTGACTTACATGACCTTAAGCATGGATTAGGCCAATGTTGCTTGTTGCTGGACTAAAGGACAGACCATCCTCTCTCAGCTTCTTCCACCACTTAGTGCACAGCCCCAGCATCCACAAAACAGTTCATATGCTTCCTCTCCGCTCTATCCCTTTTGCCAAAAGCATGGAAAGAGTAATTTCATCTGAAGTTAAGAAGGTAATGTCTGCCATTGGGCTGTGACCCCATGGCAGCCACAGACACTGGGGAATTAGATCCTGCTGCTCACATGTAACAATAATGCCCCAGATGACTTCGAGCATAGTGAAAGATGTACCTTGAGTAGCAGGTGTGACCAAGGACTGATGGGAGACCTGAACCTTTCAGAGAAGCAGCTGAGGGCCAGGCAGGACACCTTACAGCACCTAATGTGGCACCATGCAGAGACAAGAGACAACCAGTCAGTGGAGTCAGTTCAGCCTGCAGAATGAGTCAGAAGTACTTTAAAGGAACTTAGTACCAGCTCAACTGCTCTGCTCAGCCATACACACCTAGATCTAGACATACTTATGTGGCTTAATACTGAGTTGAATCCCACACAGAGCCTACAGAAAGTAAGGGAACTCATCTCCCATTAATTCACTCCTGTTCCTCATGGTTTTGCTGAAATAGAACCAGATCCTCCCCACATGTTATCTTCAGATAATTGTGAGAAACCTTGTGACTTGTGGCAACCAACTCCAGCCAGGTAAGAGTTCCAGTGCTGGGGTTTTGCTCTAAATTATTCTCCTTGAGGAACTAACAGTCCAGTGCAGTGTCAGCCCATCACCTAGGAGATGATATTTTCTTTCACACACAACCTCATGTATCCCACATTATGTACATACTGAGAATTTGAGCAATTTATTTGGAAAATCAAGGAATGCACCCATCTCAGTGCTGCCATTTTATGCAAGCTCACAGAAAAATAGCCAGACATCAGCTATCCAAATTTCCAGAAAACAAAGGGCTCCATTTAGATGCCTGAATGCCAGCATCTATGCTATTTGAGATGCCCTAAGGCACCCAAGATACACATGGGGTTGGCAGATACCACATAGGACCTATGGAAGCAGCAGCCGGAGACATGGATACCATGCAGGATACCCCAGGGTGTCTCAAATGGTATTCGATGCCAAAGCATAAGCAACTGAACCAAGTTCTAAAAATCATGTTTTATACTGAAGTCAGCTGAAGCTCTCCCATATCTAATCAATGTGTATCTTGCAGAGCAGCTAAGCTGAAAAAGAGCTACAAAAGAATTGCATCCTTATTTCAGGTCTGTTGAAATCTGGCAGAGCTTACAGACTGTCTCAGCTTATTTTGTTATGAACATATAATGCTCACTGAACCCCATGAGCTGCTGTGATAACAATCTCTGCCAGCTTGCTGAATGGATTCCTTTCAGTTGCTGCCTCTGAAGTTATGTGGTTAGAACAGAGCTTCTGCAGTATACCAGTGCACCAGGAACACTGGGTTTTAGCTATGGGAGCAAGAAAGCTGTCTGGAAAGATTAATGGGCTCAGAATTGATTATCAGACTGTAGGAGCAGAAGGTCATTGTGTCAAGGCTCCTGGCTACTGCAGTGAGAATGTACTACTGGCTAATCCTCTTATAAACACATGCACTTCCATGAGGAAGAATACCTCTAATGATTTAAATCCAATTTTTACATAATCAGCACACTGTTTATTATGGTGAGGTTGTTATGGCACTACAGTCTTAATTGAGCTAGATGACAGAAGAGGATATAAATCTTTCATCTGCAGTTAATAAATCTGGGGTCCCATGAATGCTATATAGGTCTTTCATAGAATCATAGAATAATTTAGGCCGGCAAAGACCTCTAAGATCATCCCAGTTCAGCCATTAACCTGGCACAACCAAGTCCACAACTAAACCATACTCCTAGACCAAAGCTACACATCTTTTAAAAACCTCCAGGTATGGTGACTCCTCTATTTTCTTGGAGATGTTCCAATACTTGACAACCCTTTCAGTGAAGACCTCAGGACCCAGCAATAAATTTTGTACCATAAGTATTTCCAGCAACTGGTGTTAAATGAGCATGACAAGATAGATTACTAATTTTCTGGACTATCAGCAAGAAGTAGTGACACGATTTTTCCTTTAGGAGTTACTTAGAGTGAAACAATCATTGCATAGGTTAAATCTGAGAATAAAACTAGGTTAAAACCCAGAAAATATGACTTGTCTTTGGATTTTATTATTAGGAAACTTAATAAGCAACAGTTATTTGTATGTACCAGCATACACCTTGCCATCCAGTTTAGTACTGTAAGTCATTTTTCCGTAACACGCACTTTAAACAGCCTCCATCATTGAGCACAGGTTACATGAGTGAATACTGCCATCTAGGCAGGCTTTTGGAGGCAGCAACTCTTTTAGAACATTAATCCATGTTTGCTAGGGAAAAATATTCTATTACCCAAAAGAGAGGAGAAAGGAACAATTTTTTATACTATTAAAATCAACACAACACCAGTCACCAAAAACACAAAACCCGCCCCTCAACCAGATTGTAGCAGTCCACATTAAGAGCAAATATTTTCTACATGTTTATTAAGAAATATATTATTCCATATTTCAATACAGGCAACTTGAATTTAAGCTTTGCACTAAATTAGAAATCACTTTTTTCTGAGAAAACTGTAAATACAAAGTATATTTTATTAAGGCTATTAATTACCAAAGTACATTTTACTAAGGCAGTATTATAATTGCATCTATTTTATATGCTTTGAAATACAGTAACAGTACAGTTTTAGGAGACAGTTACTAAAATATCTATTGATATTTTACAAAGAAATAATTTTTAAAACCATTTTCCTTCATATGACCAAAATAGCTTTCATTCAGCACAAAAAAATATAAAGTATATAATGCGCCTATCTTATTTCAGACAATAAACAAGTTCTCTACATGACATTTACAGCAGACTTACAAGATTTCACAACAATCTCATTTTGATTGGATACTTTAAGAACTAACTTCATTATCAGGTGTGGAATTCTTTAGGGAATGCACAAACTATGAGGACAGAATCTTACATAAAATGGTAGGACCTGTAAAGATAACAGTTTAGCACTTTCCATAGATCCACTGATACTGAATGTGAAGTTATCCTCCTCAGGTTCCTCCCTGGTGTGTTTCAGCTGTCACCTTGAGGATTGTCCTGAGCAGGTTTGTGTACAAAAGTATTATTTCCTCAGAAAGGCCCCCCTGAATAATCACAGAAATGTGATTATCTGGCTACTGGCATCCATCTCCTCCCCACCCCCCCCCCACCCCCCCACCCCCACTCCTCCCCCAATTTGGTAAGAAGTAATGCAGCATGAGACTGATTTGTATGGAGAGCAAAGCAGGCAAAAAGAAGAGGAATTGCTTTTTGCACAACGAACTGCTTAGTAGCAAACACATTCCAATTCTAGAAGGAAGGATATTGCAGCAAAGATGTACCAATTAAGCCTCTAACAGCAACAAAACAAAAAAAAGCTCTCCTCCCCTTTCAAGAAAAATGGACTTCCCCTTGCAGAAAGGGAAATCAGTATTGGGGACTATTTTGCATGATGCCAGTCAAGTAAAACACTGCTGCCACCAGTTACAGCAGGTCCCCATCACACAAGTTGGTCTGGTGGTGTAAAGTTTATTGTGTTTTTCTGAAAACAGAGTCACATTCAAATAACTTCTTTGGGTTCTTCCAAAACAATAGCAAAACTAAGAGACAACATGAGCATAACGTGTTTTATTGAATAAAATTCTGTTTCTAATATTTACACAGTGAAGTCTAGATGTAACCTAATGAAGCATGGCAATGTGCAATTTTCATTTAACATCTGGAATATCTTTAAATACATCTGAAACTACTTACTGTAATAATCACCTGCCCATCACTGATTTCATAATTAAGGAAAATTTGAACTTGCTGAAGAATAGCCAAGATGAACATTCAGGATAGCTGAGTTAAAAGAAAAGTCTGCTTTTAAATTCCAAAAGATCTGATTAAAATGTCAAGAGTTTTGAAGGCAGCTTCTGTATTTCCCTGTTGTTCTCCCTCTGCAGAAAAAGATGACAAAATAAATTATAAATCTGAAGACTGAAACAAATACCTGCACATTAAACAGACAGCAAACTCCAGGGTAAACTTAGTTCTTAAATTCATAATGTCTTAACTTCAAGGTGTATGAACTAAAACAAATTACTATTAATTAATTACTGATTTTGTATTAAATACTATTTTACATCTTTAAAGCTGCCAGGGTAGACCCACAGAAATTAGAAATGCTGCAAATGATAACTAGAGTCAACACACCACTAATTATTGCCATTTATGATGAACTACCTTCCCTCCTACTCTAGAATGTTAAGCAAATGTTTTGTATTTTTTTCTACTAGATATATTATCATTCTACTGTTACAGGGAAGAGGGGTCTGCTAATGAAACTATAGTCAACACCTTTCCTGTTTACAGGGATTCTTTTAAAGATAATTTCATTACTGATCTTGCATGAGTTCTCAGCAATGTCTGAATGCAAGTATAGACTTGCAGCAGCCATACTAACAGTCTAACTCATAGCTCTAGTAGAGTGGTATCTTATATGTGGACTATTTTCTTGTTGTAAGACATGATTCACTGACCACCTGTATGATTTTGGTCATCCAGAAGGAAAAGATTATAAATCAGGAATGTTGTGTCCTACTCAAGCTTCTGGAGGTTGTTTATTCTAGTGGGTTACAGATAGCACTTATTAAGCAGGCAGTCTAGCCTGCCACATTTGTGACTTATGTATTGAAAAAAAACTGGCTGTTATTCTCAGGTTAAAAAGATCTTGCACAGCCTCTCATATCTCATTTATCAAACAGGGAGAAGAAGTACAGTTGTCCTGTACTCAAGCTAACCTGTATGAAGCCCTTCCAAACAGCCAGGAGTGCAAGGAAGACACAATTAATAACTAAAGTACTTCCAGGTCCCTTCCTGTTTCCCAGTACAACCAATTTCAAATGCAAGCTTGGAAAGAAAAAAAAAAATTTAAGCCCCCTAAGATTCACTAACTTTACCTAACCTCTAAGAACCAAGATTAAACTTCTCATAAAATAGTTGTTCAAAGAAGTTCAGTGTGATAACTCTGCATTTTTAGAGACTCAGTTTGTAAAAGTAACAATGGCTCTCCATGAACACACACACTCTCATGGAGGTAAACTGTAACCTAGCAAGGAATAGCTTTAAAATTCAGAATCTGACAAGAAAACAAAATATGCAAATGTGGTAGTAAAAGCTGCAAAATATAACAGAAAAGCACTTAAATACCTGCAATTTCTATGCTACAGTCAGCCCTCAACATATTTGTGAACAAGAGTATATTTTATAAAATTTTTAACTATTTTCTTCGGTTTCATGGCTATCTTCTGCTTCTTCTTTTAGGGTTTTTTTCCCTCCTCAAACATACAGTCAGACACTGTTCCATTTACCCAGGAAATGTATATCCATCCAAATCTCACTGCTTTTTTATCTTTATCTGTTTTCCAACTACAGAGAGCTATCTGGAACACAGCTGCCTAGTTATTTCTCATATACCTAACATAGCTACAAATTTTAATAACAGAGAAGCTGCTGAAAGATAGAGATTTTGCTTTTGCCTGTCTCATTGGTTAGGTACACGGGACACATTAACAAACACTGTCTTTACGCAGGAAATCCATCTGTACTGACAAACTCAAGATAAGCAACTACCTGTGTGTGAGATGCTGTCAACATAGGCTGAACAAAACTAAATGTGCATTAAGATAATAATGCTAACTTTAGAAATTATTAACCACAGAACCCAGATTTTTTTACTCTTCTAGTTCCCTCTCTCCTGTCTCACTAGAGGGAAATGAGAGAGGCTGTGTGGGGCTGAGTTGCCAGCTGGGGTTAAAACACAACACCAGCTTGACCATTTCTGTAACTCAAAAGCCAACCCTACAGCCCTCTTCACCACAGGGAACTCCTAGCTCCCCTGTCTCTCCTACAGTAAGACATGAAGGGGCCAAGCCCCTCTAACATCCAGAAGGACTGACTGTGCTCAAATTCACAAAAACTGTGCAACCATTTCTTAGAACAACATATGAGATGGTTTGGAACACATAACTTTATCACTCCATACCAATGGCAAGTAACAAATGTTACCATGAGTAGAAAAATAAGCAAATGTAAAGCAATCCTTCAATTTCTCAGAAATGTAAGTGGGCTACTTTACAGGCAAACTGTGGAGTTGACAGCAGAATGGAGGTCTGTTGCAATAGTATGTCAAGTATGTAAGACCAATGCATAGCAGACAGAAAAATTAGGGAATACTCCATTGAAATGTGCCTTACAACAAGGCACATTAATGTTCTCTCATAGAAAAACATAGAAAAACTTTGAGCGGCTCATTTCGTGACACTAACATCTAGCCACATCAACTAAAATATATGGTGCTATGGGCCCTAACAACTGGATGTTTTGTTAGACAAAGCAAAAAGCAGAGCTTTCTGTGTCTTGACACTGTCTTTCAGACAACCCCTCATACACCTGCCCCTTGATATGCTAAATCCAGGCAAATTTTTTAGGCCAGGTTTAGTGTGGACTTCCAGTGTCAAAACTGGATTGTGTGTAAATTCAATGCAATCTCAGAACCCAATTTTGCAGCTCACACCTCCCTCATTTTACCATCCTATAGAGGAACAGGGGGTGAACTAAGTCTCTGAACCACCATACGTTGTCTGTTTCTCTCCCTTTTCTTACAGAGGTAACAGTATTTGATCCTTTGGGCTCCTTTGAAAAGTAGCAAATCAGAGGCTATCTAGCATGACCCAGTAACTCGCCTCAATGAACAGATACAACCAAACCAATTCTCCTTAGGTTAGATACCCTTTGTTACAGAGGTGCCAAACAAAAAAAGAAAATAAGTCTTGAGTTTACTTCAACCCAGATCAAAGGCAAGGGGAACTGTAATAAAAAAGAGAGTACTGATTACATAGTCTATAAAAAAGATGACAGGCCAGGAAACAGCTTTACTTTTAATTCCAAGGAAATGAGGTGCATTAAGAACCACATCACCAGCTAGGCAAAGGAGAGGATTGTCCTGCTCTGCTCTGCACTGGGCTGGCATTGCCTCGAGTTCCATGTGCAGGTTTTGGCACCATAATGTAAGAAAAACATCAAACTATTAGAGAGTGTCCAAAGGAGAGCAACAATGATGGTGAAGGGCCTTGAGGGGAAGTTGTGTGAGGAGCAGCTGAGGGCACTGGGTCTGTTCAGCCCGGAGGAGACTGAGGGGAGACCTCACTGCAGTTACAACTTCCACAAGAAGGGAAGAGCAGGGACAGGCACTGATCTCTTCACTCTCTTAAGGCATGACTAAAGGACACAGCATGAAGCTGAGACAGGGAAGGTATACGTTGGATATCAGGAAAAGGTTCTTCACCCAGAGGGTGGCTGGGCATTGGGACAGGCTCCTTAGAGAAGTGATCACAGCACCAAGCCTGACAGAATTCAAGATGCATTTGGACAACAATCTCAGGCCCGTGATGGGACTCTTGGGGTGTTTTCCACAGGGCCAAGAGTTAGACTCAATTAATCTAATGGCTCCTTTCCAGTTCAGAATATTCTGTGAGTCTATGAAATGTTCTGGTATGTCAGTAACAAGTGATTTTTGAGAAAAGTAGAACTGCATTATTTTTTGGAGACATTGCATCACTAGTAGCAATTCTATTTCTCATAAAGAAACTCCACTCTTTGCTATTGAGGGAAACAGTGGAATGTCAAAAAGTCTCCTGAAAGTAACTATGCATATAAAGGAAATTAACATTATGGTATTGGTAACCTTCTATGCATGGCTCTAAATTTAATTCAGAGTTTAATTTAGAGGTGAAACAGAGAGAAGACGGTGCTCCTAATATAAGGCCCATCGGGCTCTCCTGTCTTTGGTGTCAACAGCTAAAAATCCCTTGCCTGTCCATTACAGATTCTATTGTTTTCTACTTTTTATTTCCCATGTACAAGATCCATCAAGACTGTATCTCAAAAACTAGGTTACTTTGTTCAGTTAAAGGAAGCACAGAATACATTGTGTTAACACATTTTCTAAACTGTTAAACTTTGGTCATTATACACCAGAAGTTTTCCCACAACACAATTCTAAATCCTCATCAGCCCACCCCACAGTCAAATGTTACTTAGTATAATATTATGAGACAAAAGATGTTACAGACTGTGAGTAACAGATGCAGAAATATGTATTAGTTCAGTCTTTGTGCTCTGCAAATAGAAATCTTCAAGCATGATCCAAGTACATTGAAGACCATAAACAAAAATTATCTTTATAATAAATATTAAATAGTAGTACTTCAACAGAACTGTAAGACACTACAGATGCTTCATGTATTTCCAATGGTTTGGAAAAATATGGCTTGTATGTTTACAATACAGAGCCAATATTCAGAGTAAAATGGGTGTTATTTGTATATTTCAGGATTACAGACCACCCTGAGGAGTGAAAAATCTTAAAATATAACACTGTGGTTTGCCTATAAAGTAACTCTTGAGTATTCTAATAGAGATGAAAATATAATCTCTGCATAAGTATTCCTTTCACCCCTTACTTTATACTCTTTTCCCTTCTCAGGATACAAGACACCTAATTTTCAAATTGATTAAACACTGATTTCAATAATTTTAAACACTGATTTCAATAGCAGCACTCAAAAATATTCAGATGCCTTTAAGACTGAAGGCCCAAAGCTGTAAGAGGCAATTCTTATTATAAATAACTCAATAAACTAGTAAACCAAATAAATAATTTAATAATAAAAAAAATTAATTAAATAAGGAAGTAGTACTATAGGCCCAAACCTTGAAGTAATCCTGTCAGAACTCTTGCAGGCAACCTGTCAGTACAAGATGTTATTTCTCACCTGTATTACTGCTCAGTAGTTAATCATTCTTCTAAGAGCATCATAGCATTTCCACTTGTCTGGGATGTAGAAAGGCTCAAAGATGTGAGGGAAGGGAGTGTCATAGCCACATACTCTTGCAATAGGAGCTTCCAAATTCAAAAAGCATTCTTCCTGTTAACAAAAATACAGAATAAATGTTAGTGAGGACATTCTTTTCAGGAGTCTTGCATCACAAATTGGGGTCATATGAACTTCGCCAGACTGACAGTCCTGGAAACTCAAAAATTCTATTTATATCACTGAATAAGTAGACATAACCAGAATAGTGTTTCCTCTTGCACAAAGGTCCTTATTAAAAATACAAATTGCATTCATGTTATTTTCATTCTCTGCATGTGTGCTGCATTAAATCATAGGCAGATTAATACATCTGCTATACATTCAAGCAACTGCTGCCAAGAAGCATATATTTTAGGAGCAAAGGAGTAAGAGTCTCTTTTCTGTGCTACTTTTAAACATATACAAAAAATATATAATCCAAGAGTGCATATTATTTGTTGGATAAAGGAACATCATATTAAAACTTCTTTGAATTCTTAGATTATTAAGGCTCTGTCTAAGCATTAAGCAGTTAGGAAAAGTAAGTGGATTTGCCTATCTCCAACCTCTGAGTCAAAGCCATGCTCTACTCAACTTCCCCATAATTTGTGTTCTACTTGGAGATCAGATTTGATAATGACTCTGAGAATTTCATTGCTTGACCTAGAATGGCACAAAATATTACACATGCCACATTAATTTGAAAGTAACCTGTAAATATGTAACATTATCAGCCTTAATAACCAAATAAATAGTGGGGTTTCTGTTTTATTATTCTCAAGTACCAGAGTGATGGCATGGAACACAAAAATCTGCAAGAAGTGGATATAGAAATAACTTAGCCAGACCAAACTGATGTTGAAGCTAATCATCAGCTCCCTTTTCTCCCTATATCTTTAGTAGAGGTATTTGCTTTCCAAAAGAGACAAATGAAGTGATAAAACATGTCTCCTCCTGGTCTCTCCTTTGTGGAGTGCAGAAACTGAGAAATCCTGGCCAACTTCCCCTGTACTTGGCTCAGCAAAATGGAAGATGAAGTATTATCTACCAGTTTTTTCCCGCCAGGCCCACAGGGAAAATAGTTAAAAAGCTTTTCTACAAATGCTTTAACGAAAAGTTAAAATGCTTTTCTACAAAAGAGTGCCAAGTATTTTTTCAGACTGATGAACTGTCTTGAATGCATGTTGCCTTGCAGTCCATGGCAGCCTAACTCTACTTACTGTGCTTTCTATACATCACAATCTTTGGCAGTATAGAACGTACTGGTAACACACTGAGAGCACAACCCTTCACTCCAGCATCATGAAGTGGGTTTTTCTGGACAATGAACCAAAGTAAAAAGTCTAAGAAGTTGTATGATTGCACACAGCATCAATTGCACTTAATAGCCCATTAATTCACCCAGAAAACTTCATAGTCAGAGTAGGTCTGAGGTAAAAGCTTTAAGCAAACAATGTAAATATTTTTGAGCTCCATTTCAAGGCACTATTTTCTTTGCAATGCAAAAGATTCAAACTAACAAAATCCTGGAAAGCAGACTGTAATAAATCCTTTATCTGTCCATGAGGTAGATCATGATGCCCTACTCTGACCTGCTGGCAAGGGTAATTTTGATACTAGAAGACCTTGATTCCCATCTTGTAGCTGACCAATAAGGCAAGGCAACAGATTTTGGACCATCCCAAAACTGACTGCCCAATGCACCTGTCAGTTGCATTACAACAAAGCATGGAAGTATATACTAGACTCGCAGCCTCCCAGCCCCACAGTGCTGTTTTCAAGTATCTAACAGAGACCTAGAAGACAGACTGTTTACACAAACTGATATCTCTCCAGGAAAAACATTAGGAAAAAACTTTAAAGTTAAATGGTTTTGGAAGTAAAGTAGTCAGCATGGGATTTCTGGTTCAGTGTAAAATGTTTAGTTTTGAAAATGTGTATGAAAAAGTCATACTCTATTAGTGGGATAGCCATAACTTCCAACATTCAATAAAGTAAAAAAAAAATTATTTTGTTAGAAAAGTGTTTACAAAACCACAGCTATAGTTATTAACTCAACCTATCTACATTTTTATTAATGTAAAAAAAAGTCCAACAAAACATTAAATTGCTGTTCTTGCCCTGCTTCCTAACTGCAGAGGCCAAATTCTGGCCTCAGTTATTCAATATAACCTTTGCCAAATTTCCTTCATTTGCCTGATTTTCACTCAAAGCTTTCTGGAAAATATATTATTATATTAGGATATAACGGCCTATAATTGATCACACAGTTCTGTTTCAACATTTGAAGCTTAATACACTCTTATTAAGACTTTTCAAAATAACTTAAGAGCACAGGTCACAGTAAAAATCTGTTATTGAAATTCACAGCAGTCAAATGCAACACTTTAAAATAAACACATGCCTTGATTTTTAGAAAAGGAGATAAAACCAAGGACTTGCTGGATGTTGCAAAATTGTATGTGAAATGGATCCTCCTGTATGTGGTAGACTCAATCTATTTCCTCAGATCACAGTATCCTAGTATGCTAATATAGAAAACCTTATCCAAGTTTATTTTAGCTTTCTTTAAAAGTACACTTTTATCAGATTCAAGTACTCATTGCTAAATCAGGGTTCTGAGTTAAACTCTTAAAAATCTTTAAGTGAGAACTGCAGACATTTACAGAGATATACAGTTGTACAGAAAGGATAAAATAAAATCTCCGGTTCATTATTGGACATTACTAAAAGAAAATATTACTCATCCATCTGCAATGTATGGAAAAATAAAGCAAGCTCATCTGCCATTTGGAGGAAGTGCTTTCAGGCATCTGGTCAAGAAGAAGATAGTTAAAAGAATTTTTTTGCTCTAGCCTGTCCTTCATCTGAAGGGACTCTCTACAATTCCACAGTCACAATAAACAGACCTTCAAATGCATTTGGTAAGTAAGTACTGGTAAATGAGACTATTTAATGCATATATAGCAAATCAGATGAATTCAAACTCAGTCTTTCCCCCATTATAGTCTTAAATACTTTATTTCTCTATTTTTTGGATCTATTTAATTTTTCCCCTATAGCTAGCATGGATTAAAATCCATAAACAGGATTTTTTTTTAAATTTTTCATTTCTATTGTGTGTAGAATACTTCCTAAATGAGAAAGCTTTCCTGTAAAAATAAATTATTTCTGCAACATTTTATGTCCTCAGAGTCTCTCCCACATTATTTTTATTTTGCAACACTAAAAGTACTACAAAAAATAACAGCTTCTAGAATGCCAAATGGCTACTACATGAGACCAGTGATTTTACAACTCCTTTTTCAGTACAGGAATTTACTTTCTGAAGGTCGATAAAAAGTTTATGTTAAAGGCTAATATGAATACAAAGAGTTAGATAGAACTCTTGATGTTTATTTTGATATTATAGTTATTATAATAAAAAGAAGACTAAACATAAAGTCCATTACACAAGGCAAACCGTAGGAACATGCTTCATGCAGAAGTACACATTTTTTGGCTGACAATAACAACAAAATTTAGACTCAATTCATTTGCAAATGATTTGCACGTTGCAAAACTTTAATTAAATTGTGGTCTGTTCTGAATTTTGCAATCTCATCTAGAGATTTGAAAATTTTAAAAAACACATATTTAATTAAAGAACTTTTCAGAGAGAAAACTTACTGCATCAGAGTTTCACTTTCTATTCTGGATTTTTATTCAGATGTATTTATGCTGTTGCCATAAACTAAAGTGTGGGGCTTAAGCAGGTAAGAAAATTTATTTCAGATCACTTTTTTTTGTGATTGTTACATCTATATGATCTATTACTTCCACATACAGATTTTCAACTGTAAATTACCTATTATCGTAAAAATAAGATCAAACCTACTATAGGTTAATAATGAACACGGAAATCTCATTTAAATAAAATCTGTTCTTTAACTCAGAGCTTAGATTTTCAAAAGAAGCTTTCTAAAGATGTTGTCAATCAAACCTCATTTTATAAAATGTGGATTTCATGCACTAAAACTGACATCAAATAAAGACTAAACATCTTTTTCCCTGGTTTCTGCTTAAAAATAATGTCTTATTTTAAAAATGTACTTTCTATAACAGAAAAGTCAAGTGTCTTCAGTTGTCATATGTTTCTCAATCGCAGTACAGTACTTTCCTTTACAGCTGCAAGAACCAAATGCTACACATTTTAAACACAATTTGCTTTGACAAATATAAGTCACATTCCTATGAACAGTCACTTCTATGAGCTACGCAAGTACTATACAATGCACCCACAAGATATTTTCAAGTTGAGATATGAGTAGAGAGAGTGATCTATATATCCTTTCTTTAGAGGAACTTTTTTTTTTCCAACAGCCTAGCCATTTTTGTCCTAAAGTACTTTTATAAATCTTTTCCTGATAGTTACAACCATGACACAATTTTTCCTCAGAACTCTGCAGATGTACGTTGTAAACTTTTAACTTCTATAAAATATTTTTCTCCTTTTCAAATCAATTTAAGACTATATATTTATAACTTAGCACAGATTAATAATGATCAATTTTATTTGTTACCGTTTCTTTGAATTTATGGAATTAATATCTTGTCAAATACAGAAAAATAGTTAGCTGCTAAAATTATTTATTTTGTAATTTCCAAAAGAGATGAAACTTTTACTTACAAAATACACAGTACTTATAAAAAAAAGGAAAAATTTAGGGGGGAAAAAAGTCTGTTCTGTGTAATTCATTGTCTTATTACTATTAAAAAGCAATTAACTGCAAATATTGTCTTTGCAGTAATAAATCACATAAAAGAGTACTTATAGAAAAAGTAAAATTTATTCTATAGAAGATAAAATATTATAACATAAAATGAACAATTCACACACCAACTTGAAGAGTGCTTTCGAATTTCTTTTCAGTCAGCTTTAAAAATGAATGGAACAATCTTTAATAACCCAATATACAACTGGTATAGTCTGTTAAATTTTCCTTATCAGGTTAACAACAGAGCCACTCCAAGAAACACTGACAGCATGAGCATTAACTTGAAGCTGTTGGAAATAGAGACTTGATCAGTGG